TGTATATTTTTACGGGCATATAAAATATTTGAGTAAATGTACTGTGGATACCACAGTGGTGAAATCTTGACACTATATTTAATATGTAGCCATTCTATCATTATCCTAGAATGATAGCATCTGGATCAGACGGTCTCCTAGTTTATTCTCTTTCAAAAAGAATGTCCATGAGCATCTTTTAAATTGTTTGTCACAGCGATAATCATAATGTCACAGCGATAGGTATATCTATACATATAGATATGTATATATTAGGTTTGTTGGTTATATATATGATTATATATTTAATAAATTTATGTTAATAATACATTATTAATTTAATATTTTGTTTAAATTTCCGCATCCGTGAATTTTGTTTTCCTGGAAGGTTGGCTGGTAGGAATGCTTTTAGCATTAAGTCCACCTTTTGTACGATTATGTCTTGTGGTCAATAAAGTTTATTAAATAAATAAATATAGTTTATTTGTTTATTTCAGCACGTATAGAATTCGTATTATATGTACTTACTAGTTTAAAAAAAGTAACCCAATGATATTCGAGAAGTTGCTGGATATGTTTATTTATCTTGAAGGGCACAAATAGCTTATATTAAAACGTAATAAAATCGAAAAGATCGCTGTATTCGTTACCCACGGTCTCCTCAACGATAACTGAAACGAATCCTGCGAGCCCAACACAAAATAGCTAGTCCTGTACACTGTTCAGAAGTTCCTCTCATATATCTGTCATTTCCTTCGCCAGATCAGCTTCTAGAACACCTTAACACTTTAATTTCATTTGAATTACTCTGTGCCACGTTTTCTTGAAATCGGTTAACCGAAAGTTCCCTTCATTTGTTACCCTTATGTGGTGGGTGGATTATTTTAACCGACTTCAAAAAAAGAGGAGGTTCTCAATTCGTCTGTATGTTTTTTTTGTATGTATGTTACGCGATAACTCCGGTATTAGTGAACCGATTTTCATGATTCTTTTTTTGTTGGAAAGGGGGTATTTCCATAGTGGTCCCATTTCATTTTCAAGAAAATATTCCACCTCTAAGGGTGGTAAACTAGGGGATGAATGACTTTTGAGGTCGGTTTTTTTAACCCTAGGTTAGGTTATTTGTCAAATTCGAATGCGACCGACCACTACAGAGCTCTGTAGTGGAGATTTGAAGAAAATATTCGGAATCGAGAATGTTGAGTGTTGCACTTTATATAGAAAGGTATAAAAATTCAAAAATTATTAGGAAAAAAAAAACTAAATTAATTTAGTGATGCTAGAGGTTTTAAATACGGGCCATTAGCTACGCGATTTCTGCGGAAGGAGTAGCTACCGCTTTTTTAACAAAAAAATCATCGTAATCGATTCACAAATCGTTGGTTGGCATCGTTGGATTGTATATACAAATGTTACAGGCTCATTTCATTTCACTTCATATTTCCTTACACACCCTGGCTTTTACCTATTCTTTATTTATTTATATTCGGGAATTCAACAGCTCAAGTGGCATTGATGCAGTCACAGTAAACAAAGATACACAGCAGAGAGCCTTTACAAACTTCCTCGACTATTCTAAATGTATCAGTACTTCACAGTACTATAACAAAAATTAAATAAATAAATAACAAATTAGATGGCAAAGCAAGGTTAGGAGATCAAAGTGTGTCCATACATGTGGGTGTGTATGTGTTACTCACGTGTGTGTGTAAGATGTGTGTTTGCGGGCGCGCTCGCGTGTTGTATGTCTGTGCGTGTGTGTGCATACTTGTATATTATAAATACTATGTGTTTGTACTACTATTACTCAGCATGTTTTTATTACTTTTTTTTAATTTGCCTTAGTATTACAAAATGGGTCCAGCCGCGAAATTCTTTGTTATACTGTCTTGAAATACGAGAAGTAATAGAATTTTTGCCATAATTTGTCCGATGCGCAGGTGGACAAATCATTACGGTGTGGCTAAGGGAGGTGTTAAAGTTTATAGTTTTTCTATAGTTCTTAAAGTAATACATCCATTTTAACACCCTTTAATTTAAAATAAATAGAGTTTTGCCATCTCTCTTTATAAGACACGAGTTTCAGAAAGTAAGGCATCGAAATGTCCCCCCCTTTAAGTCGGTCTATAGTGTTGTGATAAAAACGCAAATGCGACATAGTAATACGTGTAAACAATTGAAAGTATGTCGGTCATACTGACATCACCAACATATTTAAAGATATTAATAATAAATATACATTTCAATTTAAGGAATATCTCTCCCTCTAAGTTCAAACCCTGAAATATTGCTCAATTCTCCCATATTTTCATATCCAGTCAACTCACTGAACCAAAACCTTTCCTTTGTTCTAGTCTGGCACACCATCTGACAGTGAAACGGCTAACTTTCCGACGGCAGGTGGAAGACAAAGAAATGTTATTAGCAAGCTGCGGCAGCGACAACCTCGTCAGGATTCACACTGTTACTAATTCGTGTTGATTTCAATATAGATATTTTAAATTATGCAGTGCGACTTTCTCTACGTCCCGTAAATAAATAAAAGTTAAATATGGACGATTCTATAACAATAAAGGATTTTTTTAAATATATACAGTTCACTATAAGTCTCAAGGGAATCACACACATCTAATTAACACGCTTCAAACGATCAGAATCTCAAAAGTCAGAAGGTCAAAAGAGCTCCTATATCCGTGCAATCCGTCCCCAAAACGCACCGATTCCCATTAAGTTATTCTGAGGCCGACACTATACGGTCGATAGCTTTTCATTCATGTGAAAACATGGTATAAAGAAATCATCCAAAGCTTTACAAATATTTACCCTTCTGTAACCACAACATCCCATTTTCATCCTAATGCAATATTATGGATAACTTTATATCTTAAGATATTGAGTCATACGTCATATCGTGTATAACAAGTCATATCGTGTATAACACGTCTTATCGTGTATAACACGTCATATCGTGTATAACACGTCATATCGTGTATAACACGTCTTATCGTGCATAACACGTCATATCGTGTATAACACAGCGCATCCCCCCTTTACGAGGGCCAAGCTTGCGGTGGTTTACCCATTACTGCCATATCTGAAGACGTACGATCCTGCGCAACTCTATAAAAAGCGAACACCACTAATCGGATGTAGGTATGTCTACTTTTTTTTATAAAATAATGTAATAACTCATTGATATAAGCTACAACAGTCAAGATGTACTGCTACAACGAAAATATATTGTTCTTCTGAATTTGCTATAGGTGGACCATGTCATCGATATTGTGCGGAAATAATTTATCTGTCCTCCGCTACTTTTTAAGGTATGTATGAATATGTGTGTGTAGTTTTCTGTTTATGTACGCGCGCGCGCTTGCTTACATGTGCGAGAAAGGATTTCTGACAATTTTAATAATGAAACAAAAATTTCTAGTAGCAGTACAGCTCCTTGTGAAAGAGTTCGTCGAGGGAAGTACTACCACCTTACTTGTTTCTGCCGCCAAGCAGTAATGTATTACTGCGTTCCGGTTTCCAAGGGTAAACGTGCTGGCGAAATTACAGGCACATGGGACTTGTCAACTTATGTCTCAGGGTGACGGCCGCAGTTCCAGTGCCTCTGATATCTTTGCGATTTAAAGCTCTGAGTGGCACTGCAACTGTTATGGACAGACGTGTCGCTTACCGTCAGGCGCACGACTTGTTCGTCCCGTCACTTGATATCGTAAAAGAAACGGTGTCTATTTAGTGATAGTGATAAGATAACACAACAACAACAACAACAGACAAATCGTATCAAATTCTGTTTTATTAGCAGTCCAACTGCAGGACACATTGTTTAAATGTGTCTATTAACATTTTTTAATTACCACAGTTTGTTACGAGGACGATGTGTAACAAAATCGTTCAAACTAGTTCTTACCCTTAAGGTAAATGAAAAAAAAAACAAAATAAACGCACATACTATATTTACAACATAACACACAATAAAATATCATAGAATATAATTATGTTTTACTATGGAAGCATACAATCTCAAAAAATATAAAGATTTTTATTTGAGTGCAAATAAACAAATATTTGAAAAAGCGCACGCAACCTTGTTCACAATCACTTACATTCCGTTTTATCACAATTTCTTTTTCCGTAAATCACAGACAATATTTTACAAAATCCCTGTATACTGTCTTTTTTAATTTTATTTCTCTTAAATTAAAAATAATCATAATGTGCCAGATAAGCACAGCAACTGGTCTCAAACTAGGGACCACCTCATCTATCACCCACGATACTCACCGTTGAGAATGAATAGGAGTGTATTGATAATACATGGGTCATATTTCATGTGTTCTTAAATACAGTCCTCTGCAGCCGAGCCGTGACCCCGTATCACTATCAATCGTGAACTCGTGAGTTCAATGACTCTTCCAAACCAAAACCGGTTGTGCAAATGTTTGTATTACCGACTTTAGGATATTTCCTACCGCCTGCTAGCGGTCGCGCAAAAACTACAGATGTCTTGACTCCATGCAGAGTTATCTGTTAATTATTGGTATCGAATGACATACGTGGCACAGCTGGACACGGGACTTCTTTAAGAGTTATATTGTTCAAATGGAAACAACAAAATATGAATACGTTTTCTAAATTATTACCTGTTCATTTTAACAAACAATCACAGTGACTGACTATCGAAAACAATTATGTATTCCGTGATGTTTTGACCTTCAAGCAATAGATTATCGCTCGCCGCGCTTGTGTTGGCCACGGGGCATGACAATGAAACACTAAATGCCCTTCTTAGTGTCACCTTTGGACTTGATCTTTTTTAAGAAATAACGTTTGAGGCCGAACTTTTTCTTCTTTTTCACTTCCGAGGTGTCGCTGACGATAGTGGAGGTCGTGTGGAGATCGTTCCCGGACTCGATGTAGTCCGCGTAGCGATTGAGGTGGTTCTCGGACGCACTACGGATGGCGGGGGGGAGGCGTAACAGGTGCGTCTGAGACATGCCGGTCATCGCTCCGGAACTAATTTCGGTGATGCTCAGGCCGGACGACAGGTTGGATGAGTACCCATTAAGTCTATAACAAAGGTTTTTTATGCATATCTCACGATACATGAATTCATAAATTAATATATTAATGAATTCCTAAATTTCATTTTGTGCAAGTTACTTTAGCTTGTTCTGTTATAATTATCGTTACAATATAATTTTTTATATGGCAATAAACAATATTCATTCATCAAACACTTTGAAAGAAATATGGCTTTCTCAATAGAGAAAACAATTTTACTTGTAAAGTTTTTTCTACACAAACAGCATATTATTTGATCAATCACAGAATTAATAAAACACATAAACGCAATAGAGTATAAAAGGTAAACACCAACCTGTGCGGCGAGTGCACCTCCCTAGCTTCGAGTGAGCAAGCCAGGCGTTCCCAGAAGTCATACGAGGCCTTGTTCCCGGATGGAGTGAAATATAGCTTGAGATAAAAGCGGACCTGCCGCGGCAGCGGGCAGTTGCGATATATCACCGGGAGTATCTTTGGTTTCCGCGTTTCTGTCAAAGATGTCAATAATAATTGCAAATATCTCATATTGGTTATTCGTAAATTAAGAATATTAATTGGGAAGGACCTAAAGACATCGGCTCAACGTTTTGGAGACAGCCCTTTGTATCAATAAATAAATTGTATATCGATTTCATAGGAAATGAAACTATTTTTTTTTTATCTAAAAAGAGTATATTCGTTTTTTCAAACAATTCAACATTTTGAACCCTTCACAGGCCCCATGGTCACGGCAGACAATAAAAATAAAATGTAATTGTTTTATTACATATTGCGAGGAGTTGTTTCGACAGATGGAGTAAGGCGACAACCAAATGGTGGCAACAACACATACTCTTTCAGTGAGAATCAATTGAAATGACAGTAGTCTGTTCAGACGGACTAGTCACAATACATTACCAACCCGAAACGTCATCATGCGCCTTTTAATGCATTGACGTTAAAACCTGAATTAGGTAATGTATCTTATACATGATGTTCACATAATATTACCAAAGCATGTACTCACCAATACCAACGGCCTGTGCGTAATCCATGTAAAAATTATTAGCAGGACTGTCGAGAAAGTCCGGAGAATATACCAGAATGATACGCCGGCACCTGTCGGACGAAATGAGTCGTGATACTGGCGCAAACGTCGTTGAATAGTCAGGAAGAAGGTTGTCTTCTGTGCATAGCTGAAAAGGTGATGATTTGTAGTAACTATTGGAAGTGAAGTCTGTCCATTAATTTAAGATTTCTCTATCAGATAAAAGGTCATGGGTTCAGTTGATTGTAAGTGAAATTTAATAGTAATTATGACTATATTCATATTTCTGTTGATATTAGGCCTTTAAGTTCTGCAACACGAAAAGGGCCGAACTATACTGTTTAAAAAAAGAATTAAGAGAATAAGTGTTTGGTATCTTGTTTTCAAACAAAATTGAAAAGTTACAATATAAACAAATAAACAGTGCTTGTCAATATTGGCATAATTTTCTAATTTATATAGCTGCAGTGATAATAATACACAAATGACACTAGAAAAGTCACCATAATAGTCACACTAGATCCTGAATATTAGCGAAAAGCTAGGGCACCCGAAAAATACTGATATGCACTTTATACAATCCAATCTTACAACGGAATTTCTACGCGAACCAATCCAAATCTGTTGATGTTTCTGATAGTTTTAAATTTCATGGAACTAATGAGAATAATCATGACATGTTCAATTATTCCACATGGAACGAATAAACAACCAATTTTCACTTCTTCAACTGGACATTAAATTTCCTAATGGAACATCTAGAAGTTTAACTATCCACCAGTAACTTTCTCTATATCAAAAATGTAAATGTTTTTAGTAAATTAAGGAAAGCTTACATTGTAACCTTTCTCCTTCATCCTGATCAGCATTTCATCAACAAAGTCCTTGTCTTCCAGTGCATACAACACATATCCATGGTAGAACTGGGGTGCGCCATGAATCTTATCATCAAATGTTATTATGTTTTCTTCTATATCCTCATCATATGGGACGACTGACATATCTTCTCGTTTGGCAATGATGTTGTTGGGAAATGGTTTTGGCTGGTTAACTGAATAGAAAATGCATTTAAATGTAATTGTGTGACATAAAGGCAATTGCAAAAATGCATTGTGTAATTGCCAAATTGTCTGTAGTTTCTCTTATTTAAACTAATTTTCTCTTTGGATCTAACAACAACAATTAGCTTTCAATATAATTTCAAAAGTAGTTACAAATAAGATAACAAAAAAGGTATTTTTACATTAATAACAGAATTTCTTAACTGAAATTTTCTTAATTTTGCATTAACATTTAAGAAGCATATATTATAAATGGACAGATCTGGAGGAGGCCTATGCTAAGAGGCATGGTGACTTAAGAGATAGTATGTAAAAATTTAAAATACAAAGTAAAATTGTAATGTAAAAATATCTCTAACTATGCTTAAAAAGGCTATATAATAATAATATTATAAATGCTAACCAACAAGTTGCCCATTGCTCCACAAATCCATAAAATCATCGAACACATCATATCTGTCGATCCTTTGCACATAATCGAGGAGACGACCGACTGTTGCCGTGCCATCTGCACGTCTCGCCCAGTAACTTATCACTTTGGCAGTCTTGTTTGACTCAAACGAGTTTGTTATTTCTGTAGATATGTTTAGTAAACAGGCTAGACCTCGCCAGTCTCTGAAAATTTTAAATTTCTTAGCAAGGCCACAAAAGAAATATGGTGAAGTATTATGAGTTGCCAAAAAGTCTGTAAAGAGGAACACAATTGCAAAATAACTTAAGATTTGACTGTTAAAAAATATCTTTAAAAATGTTAGAAACCATCATTACATAAAGCGATACAACTGAAAATGATCAACTTTTTTTTCTTATTTCGCTTGGTATTTCGTGGTAAACGTCGTAGCCACCTACAAAGTGTTTTGACTTTTCTTCTTCTTCCTGTCCTTATGCCACAGTAGGTAGGACCAGCACAACATGTATTTTTCTTCCATTCTCCCCTATCAGCCGTCATTTTCATACTCACACCTTCTTTATCCATCTTTCACACAATCCATCCATATTTTCTTAGACCTTCCTTTCCCCTTATATCCCTCCACATTCATACCTAACTTGTTTTTATAATGGGGAAACTGATGTACTACTCTTAAACAAAATATTATCCTGTTCCTATTATACACCATATTATTATTACTATTGTCCATTTCTAAGACACAATTTTTTCTATTAATTTTTTTTTGGTATGTACTTGTATTATATTTTTCTATTATTCATATGCAGTGAATAAAACTATAATAGACTTTACAATGTTTCTGAAAAATCATAAACAAGCTTAGTGTTACACTTGTATATAAAGAATTTATACTTGTAAGACGACTATGAGAACACCTCACTAAGAATTTCGCAACATGATTTTCCTGCTCATTGGGTCTAATTATAAGGTATATCCTACCTTATTACATAACTTATTAAATAGATAATTGAGGCGACATGTTCGACATGATAGACGTAACAGGTATCATGTAAAAATTGGAACGTTTTGATAGCGTTTTTGATATTAGACTAAATTCACCTGTAGAAACAATAGTTCCATATGTTTATCCCGTTTGATATTGATTTAAATCTTCCGAATTATGGAAGAAAAATAACTAAAAAAAGAAGATGAGATACACAAGACAATCACCTCGGAAGTTTGTCAGGGCCCTCACTGAGCAGTAATTTCTGTGAATCCAACAAATACGAGAGCGCCTGTTGCGCCTCGTACGTGAGTGAACTCAGTTGCACTTGGCTAAAATTCACTTCGCTACCCTCCATTTTATCACCACTGTGTCACGTAAATGCCATTGATACACAATTTTTTATGTACTTCTAGATTTCCACAGCGAATTGTGTAAAAAATACATAAGAAATCAACATAGCTATTCTTCTTTTAAATATTATGGCCCCATCGAAATACTCGATGATTCCGGCAAAGTCAAGTAACAATTGCTCTATTACACATAGAAATCAACATACGATCGCTATGATATTTATATAATTTTATAAAAACTGACACTGGCCCGCAATCACAAACACAGAACACATCGTATCATTGTGGAATGATTATGGAATTGAATTAACTGACGTTTGATTGACCGAACGAGTAGACTGGGAACGAAATCATTATTAATACCACAGATAATATATTACTGAATGAAATTAGTCACAAAATACAACTTCACCACACATTTCTTAAAACAGATGGCGTTACGTAGTTTTTTTTTTAATTTATTGGGCGTTGGCTACGTGGACATCACCTCAAAACGTCAACAATGTAATTGAAAGTGAATGATCTAAACTTAATAAAATGAAAAAAGTCGTTACGTTACGCATTATTTTACTCGATTGCGGAAGACGAGCTTTATCATGATATCAAAATCATCATTGATGATAAATAATTACGAATAGTGGACAGCACTTTCTGAGAAGCTCCATTGGCGCGAATTATTAAAAAAGGATAACCAGATAACCCAGTGTAAACTTTTAACTTCCCGAACGAACTGTAAATACCTAGTTTATAAACGTACCCAACAGATGCGTGCCTTTTGAAACTGTATTGCCATCAAGATGATTGGATCGTATTCTAGAACTCTACTTAATGCTCAAGTCAGGATTTGAGTATGATTTAAAGCACTCGAAATCATACTCAAGTCCCTGCCATTAAGGTCGTATTTCCAGTGCTTGAAATCATACTCTGATCCTGACTTGAGCAATGAGTAGAGTTCTGGAATATGACCTCAAAGTGTCGTATTCCAGAACTGTACTCGATGCTCAAGTCAGGATTTGAGCAGACTTTAGTATGATTTCAAGCACTGGAAATACGACCCTGATTTTTTAAGGTAATAAACTTGAGTGAGTATAAAAGAAATTGAAGTAAGTGTATAAAAAGGTATAAAAGTCTACACATGGTCTACACTGTCATTTATTGTGGAGATTTATCAACAAATGACGATTTATAGCAAACAAAAGTTGTCCGAAAAAGAAGTCTAAAACATCGCTTTCCTCTCTGTAACTTATATTTGCAATCAGTATAAGTCATAAGAGGGAGTCATCACACTTATTAACGCGGAATCGGCTTGAGCTTAATGCTCTAGTGATGTAGAATCTGATGGCACTGCAAAATTTAGATTTATAGTAGATAGACAATGTCAATAGAATGGGAAAGCATGCATTTGACACTTTTTTTCTTTCTTGGCTTTTCGCGGTTAGCGTTATATATTTTAATTCACCAGAATTTATCTATCCTCGCCCTTTCAATAATTGAACAAAACAGTATGTCTATTATTGGTAATATTATAACATTCAGCCATTGACTTACAAATAAATGGACGACGGGTCTAATACAAAAACCACGAAAAAAATGTCCCAAGTCAACCTATTCGAAATTTAAATTGTAATGTCAAAATAATTGTAAGTCAATGCATTCAGCCTATAAAGGTTCCACTACATGACACAAAAAAGTGAAATTTGTGAATTAACATTTTTATAGTAACGACATTGACTTACAATTATAAACGATAGTTTGTTAGAAGGACGATGTGTAACAAAATAATTAATCAAAGTAGTTATTATAAGGTAAATCAAACACTAAATAAATAAACATAAACTATATTTACAAGATAGAATACACAATACCTATTAACAACATATAACTCTATCTTACTACAGAAACATACAATCTCAAAAATATATTTTGATATATTTTTATATAAAAAAACTTGGAATGCTATTTGTGTTAAATAATATGCAATTTAAATGTGTTCAATAATGTAAATTACATTGTATTTTAGAAAATCCCTGTATTCTGTGCTTATAAATTATCTGTTTCTTTTGATTTAAAAATAAATATGCCAGATAAACACACTGACTGGTTTCGAACTAGAGAACATCTATGAGTACTACAGCAACGAAATTGACTCCAGAGCGGATTGAACACCCAAACCTGAACCAATACAAAAAAATTATTTCACATTTTGGTCAAAACCGAATCTGGGTCTACTTTATGTAGCACTCACAATGCTCACCGTTGAGTTACCAAGATCTTCACATTAAAGCCCTATATGTTGTTGTTGACATTGGATATTTTAGATTTTTTTGGTAATGCTTTTGCTGAGGTGTGTTCTTAAACACAGTCCTCTGCAGCTGAGCCAATAAAAACCCTTCCACACAATTGTTGTATTATTAAATTACTCTACTGTCTTTTTTATTATAAATATTGCATATCTCATAAAGAATGTTATAAATATTCAATCCAATGAGAATTTAGCTGCTCATTTAGAAAACAAGTCATCATAATTTGGCAAGATAATATAATGAAGACGATTCTTTTCAATATTTTTTTAAAATCTCTATTTAACGTTGTTATTTCTATTTATTTTCCAATTTAACATCTATATTTTGCTTATTTACAAACAACACACTGCGCAGCTTGAGCAATTTATTTTTAAATTTAGGTTTTTCATTTTAAATCTACTGGTTCAGATTGACCTTCTGTCCAAAAGCCAAGTTTAACCAAAAACATCTATTTGGGGCGTACGTTTTTGACTTGCTCCACGATTGGAAAAATAAAGAATGTATGTCAAGATTGCAGCAAGAGGATTTCCAGTCTCCGCCTACCGCAGTGGGCAGGCATGATAGCGCATATCAAAATAATTATGCATGTTTGTTCTAACATCGAATGGAGTTATTGTCTATTAAAAACAATTAATTACAACTTTTAAAATCTCGCCTGCTTACTGTCGAAGATAAGACAGTACACTGTTTGTATTTTATTTAGTTAATAATATAATACCACTGCAATGTTTGTTTACGTTGTAATTGCTTCTGTGGTATATTTAAATCTATCACTAACTACCTATGGTAAACCCTAAAGATTAAACCAACTGACCGGTTTAACATGCCAAAATAAACTGAGTTTACTAACTCTTCCAAACCAAAACCGGTCATGCCAATGCTTGTATTATCGACTTAGGATATTTCCCACAGTCTGCTAGCAATCGCGCAATTTCTAAGGCGTTTCACGCCCCTATATAATCTTATGTATCTAAATTGAGGGCTCGAGTTTTCAGCTACAAATGTTTTGACTCCACGCAGAGTTATCTGTTCATTATTGGTATCGAATGAGAGGTCTCCTTTAATTTAATTCTATAAGAATTGACTTTGTAATATTTGTTTCTATAATAATTTAACTGTTTAAAATTTTATTGTGTAAAACTTAATTATTACTAACATTAATATTTAAGTGATATTGTCGAGTTGCGGACACCAGCCCGTTACACCAAGTACCAATTAGCACTATGGGTTCAAGTGACTTCAAATGAACTATTAAATTATTATTTAAGAGTTATATTGTTCGTATGGAAATAATTATTATTACGTTTTCTTTCTTATTATCTGTTCAATTTAATACACAATCACAGTGTTTCACAGAAGTGGTTATCAAAAACGATTAAGTACTTAATCCATAATGTTTTGACCTTCATTGAATAAACAGATAATCGCCGCGCGAAGTTAGTGTTGGCCACGGGGCCAATATTTGTGGTAAAATTGTATATACATATACGTATATATATATTTACATAACAATATCCATCTCAAATGACGTCAACCACTAAATGCCCTTCTTAGATTCACCGTTGGACTTGATCTTCTTTAAGAAATAACGTTTGAGGCTAAACTTTTTCTTCTTTTTCACTCCTGAGGTGTCGCTGACGATAGTGGAGGATGTGTGGAGATCGTCCCCGGACTCTGTGGAGTCTGCGTAGCGGTTGAGGTGGTTCTCAGACGCACTGCGGATGGCGGGGGGTAGGCGTAGCAGGTGCGCCTGAGACATATCGGACATCGCTCCGGAACTAAGCTCAGTGATGCTCAGGCCGGACGACAGGTTGGATGAGTTGCCGTTTAGTCTGTAACATAGGCTTTTTACGTATATCTCACGATACAACTACATGAATTCCTAATTAATATATTAATATTAATCATTCCTAAATTTCATTTTCTACAAATTACTACTTAGCAATAAGGCCGCCTCTAGTACATTAGCTTATTCTGTTATCATTTTCGTTATACTATAATTTTTAACATGACAATAAAAAATATTTCATTTATCATCAAACACTGCAAAGAAAGTACTTTCTCTATAGCGAAAAGAATTTAGCACGTAAAGTTTTTCTACATAAACAGCATACTATTGCATCAATCATAGAATTAAACATAAAATAATGAACCACAGAATAAAACACATTGTGATACAGCAATAGGCTAAAACACCAACCTGCGCGGCGAGTGCACCTCCCGAGCTTCGAGTGAGCAAGCCAGGCGTTCCCAGAAGTCGTACGAGGACTTGTTCCCGGGCGGAGTGAAATATAACTTGTGATAAAAGCTGACCTGCCGCGGCAGCGGGCAGTTGCGATACATCACCGGGATTATCTTTGGTTTCTTCGTTGCTGTCAAGAGTGGTAATAATAATTGATTGACAAGTAAAGTCTCCAAAGATACAGGGTCATCTGGTTTCGGAAGATTTGTTTAAAGTATTTATGTAACTGCATTTTATATTGATAAATAAATCGTAATTGTGATATTGTCGAATTTATTACATATTGCCAATGCGTGACGCTGAGAGACGATGTAGAGAGCAGCCAAATGATGGCCAAGAATGGGTTCCAGAAATATACGCCATCTTAGGCCGTATATGGGTGACACTAGTGCTGAATCATAGAGGACGGTACCAACTACAGAAGGCCTGTACCCAGTAGTGAGTCGCTTTCTGAATCAAGATGATGATGAAATAGGTGAACAAATGCTCTAGTAGTCTGTTTAGACTAGTCACAATGCATTACTCGCCCGAAACGTCATGCGTTTTTCAGAGCATCGAGGAAAAAACCTTAGAAAGCACATTACGTTAATATTACCAAAAGAATATACTCACCGATACCTACGGCCTGCGCGTAATCCATGTAAAAATTATTGGCCGGGCTGTCGAGAAAATCCGGAGAGTACACCAGAATGATGCGGCGACACCTGTCGGACGAAATGAGTTGTGATACCGGCGCAAACGTTGTTGAATAGTCAGGAAGGAGATTGTCTTCTGTGCATAGCTGAAATGGTGATGTCTTTTTAGTCACCATTCAAAATAAAGTTTATCACTAATTTTAATTGTTTTGTTTCCTTCTTAATAAATAATTAAGCCTTCTCTATCAGGAAGGTCATGAGTTCAATTGATTTGAGAGTGAAATTTCGTAGAAGTTAAGACTTCATTTATGTTTGTGTTGATATGAGGTTTTTAAACATGTGCAATGCAACAAGAGTCAAACATTATAATACAATAAGGTATGAATTAAGAGAAGTGTTTGTTATCTTGTATTTAAACAAAATTGCAGAGATAAGTCGAGTTTATAAACAGCCCATGTCAATATTGTCACAAAAAGGGATTTCCAGTTTATATAATATAAAGAAAAAACAATGGGTTCTTTATTTGTTATTACCATAACATGAATTGATTTTGTGTTTATCAGCGAGAAAAGATCACAAGGACATCATGTTGTTGCAACTGAAAAGAATACTAAAGCATTTTTTAAAGTAGTTTTGTCAAACATTGTCCTAACAAACATCCAGTCCCCAGAGAATAAATAGCTCCAGTGATTGTGATATAAAAATAAATGGTCATTTGAATATTAGCCGAAAGGATGTTTTCCCTTGCTGTTTAACACAAAAAAGGACCTATTAACTGAACATGTTAGGAACATTACGAAATTTAACCATTTAATAGTGATTAACATTGACTATCTCAAGAAGCTTAACCGTTTTTAGTAAATCAAGTAATGCTTACGTTGTAACCTTTCTCCTTCATCCTGATCATCATTTCATCAACAAAGTCCTTGTCCTCTAGTGCATACAACACATACCCATGGTAGAACTGGGGTCCACCATAAATTACATCATCAAATGTTAATATGTCGTTTTCAGTATTTGAGTCATCTGGAGCAACTGACATGTCCTCTCGTTTGGCAATGATGTTGTTGGGGAATGGTTGTGGCTGGTTAACTGAATAGAAAATGTATTTGTTCTACTTATACATAATTGCAAAAATATACTTAAACATTATGAGCCTATACTGTCCTAAACATTAACATGTTAAAAAATATCCATTTATTTTTTGTGCTTTGTTTCTTCTAATAATAACAGTTAGTTTTCCACATGACTAGATAACAAAAACATAATTTATATAGCACATTTTGCACAGGATACCTATTTTAATAGCAATATTTCCTAACTGATATTACCTTGATTTGTGATTAACATTTAAGAGAAATATATTATAAATTCTAACCAACAAGTTTCCCATTGCTCCATAACTCCATAAAATCATCGAACACATCATATCTGTCAATCCTTTGCACATAATCAAGGAGACGACCGACCGTTGCAGTGCCATCTGCACGTCTCATCCAGTAACTTATCACTTTGGCAGTCTTGTTTGACTGAAATGAGTTTGTTATTTCCGTAGATATGTTTAGTAGACAGGCCAAGCCTCGCCAATCTCTGAAAATGTTACATTTGTTAGTAAGGTTACAATAAAAACATGGTGAAGTATTATGAAGCACAACTAGTGTTATAAAAAACTCGAGTCCAGGAGTATATAATTATAGACAGTATAATTTAGGACCCAACTCCATTCACCCGATTTGTCTCATAAGACAAGGGACTACAGCTCGATATATATGAGCCACTTGATTTCTATGAATAGACTTGAGTTCGATATTACTGCTCAAGCTTGGTTAATACATTTTGAGTGTTTGTTGCAAATCTGTGTTATTTTTAGTAGGCTTTTAATGACTTTTTTATTTTTAAAGATTTATTAATTTATGTACCACTTTTGGACAAAACATTACCTGGTTTCTATTGTACCCTCTCCATATTGTACTCAGTGCAGTTGGTATATTGATATCAAGTCTATTCTTAAGACTCTTTTTAATATATACATATTTTTTTTCAACAATATAATACATACAAGTATGTATTAAATTCCTGTTATTTAAAATGCAGTGAGTAAAATTAACATTAGACATTTATTAAAATGTTTATGAAAAACAATAAACAATTGTGTTGTTATACTTAGAACTAAATTTTTATAAGAAGATTTGTTAAGACAACTATGAGAACACCTAACAAAGAATTTCACAATATGGTTTTCCTGCTCATCTCTTATCTAATTATACGGTAATGTATCACACCTTTAGATAATTGAGGCGACATGTTTGGCATGATAGACAAGACAAGTTTCATGTCAAAATTGGAATTATATTATGGCATTCCTTCTGATGACTGAGTGCTAAATTCACCAGTAGAAACATTAGTTTCACGAGTATATCCAGTTTATTAATGATTTAAAGCTTTCGAAAGCTGGAAGGAAAAGAAATAAACGAGGGAGATCAGATATCCCGCGAGAAATTACTCGTAAAACTGCATTCTAAAACATAGTACCACAGCGTAAATGCAAATGTAATGTAATGCTGTTTTTGATAAATAAACATTATTATACAAAACAATCACCTCGGAAGCTTGTCAGGGCCCTCGCTAAGCAGTAATTTCTGTGAATCCAACAAATACGAGAGCGCCTCTTGCGCCCTGAACGTGAGCGAACTCAGTTGCACTTGGCTAAAATCCACTTCGCTACCCTCCATTTTGTCACCACTGTATCACTATAATGCCATTGATGCACAGAGCTATGTTTATTGTTAGATTTCTAAATCGAGTTCTGAAATAATCACATACAATAGGTATTTTATAAATCATCAAACACTCATTTGCCAAGATGCACAAAATAATATGACGTCAGATGACGTCTCTGATCAGTGTTGCCACGGAAGAGTAAAGTAATCATTGTTGCCTTACCGCGTTGCCCACAGAGGAAGTTGCTAAACCTAATTAGAAAAGTTGCTGGATTCTACTGTTGGGTGACTTTCCGAAAAATCTGAAATATGAAATTTTAAACTGCCTTTGTGGTCGAACGGTGACATGCTGGACTGCCACGTAGAGGTCCTGGGAACGATTCCCGGGCCGGGAGAAATATTCGTATGGTCTACAATTTTTCTCTTGGGAGGTTGGGTGTAATTTGTAGTTGTCAATATGTGTGTCCACGGCACCTGCAGTTTTCCATAATATATAGCCATATTGCAAAGTATATTTAAAAAAAAATGTGGACATTTTTCCGGAAAAAATTGGAAAAATATAATTTTGTTATAATGTGTTATGCGGTTAAAAGTAAAATATTTATTTTTCTGAAAAATATGATTTTTTTTTCAAAATGGATTTTTTTCCATGACCCAATACTATTAGATTTCAAGAAATTAATTCTGGGTAAAGTTGTGAAAGTGGCTAAACAAAGAGATAAATATGAGATTGCTTTTTTAGATATATATTTTTCTTAATTTTACAATTTATAAATTCAAATAATATCATCAATATCCATGAAATCATTATCATCTTGTGATGTTGAAGGCTTAGCTTTATTTTCCGATGTGTCTTGTTAAAAGAGCTAAAAGACTTTGACTTTGGCTAAAAGATTTAGCTACCAAATTGTCGCGTTACTTTCTCAAACTCGTATCTTAAAGCACAAAATTACTGAAATGCAAAAAATGGATTGTATATACAAATTTTGCACGCTGATTTAACATCAAATTTCCTTCATATTATTATTCACACACTGGCTTTTACGTATTCTTAAATTAATGCATCCAATTTAACACCCCTGATAAGAAATTTAAAATAAATAGAAAGTTGTCCATCTCCTGAATAATCACAGTTTATAAGATTCGAGTTTGAGAAAGTAAGACGATAGGCGTCGAAACATTTTGTTTTAAAGAATAATGTGGCTAGATCCAGAATAATCGGCTGCAGTGGCAACACTGTCTCTAATCCTGATGGATGGGATGACGTTTGATTCATGCCATCGGTATCATGCCGAACGAGTGGACTTGGAACAAAATGAATGAATAGGAATGAATGAAATCAGGAACAAACTTTACCATTTCTCATAGTTAGCTAGATCACATTTGCTTCAACAGATGGCGCTATGATAACACCTAATTTTACTTGATGGCGGCAACCTCCAAACGATTTATGGCATTTTATATCCTACGATTGACGATTTGACTATGCTTCATCTATCATTTACTACCATGCATTTGCGACTAAGCGCGGGAATACACATCCGATTTCGTGTCGGATGGTCGGATCCGACTATCGGATCGAATTCACTCAATACATGTCAAGTGCAGTGTTGCCAATTAATGGAGACTTCCCCAAATGCAGGGAATTTCAACTCAACAACTCGTTTGGATTTTGTTTAGATTACGCTAAAAGTAGTAGGGAAAATGCCCTCGCATTCTAGAATTTCATCCTAATTTTGTTACACTGATGATCTCTGATGAAAACACTATTTATTTCTTTGTTTCTGAACGATATTGATACTTTTTGAACATCGTGCGCTGCTTATATGGCAACGTTTATGTAGAATTATTAGCAAACCGCTTATATGTATAAAATTATCCAGTAGGATTAAAATCACTTTATCTTGTATTGTAAAATTACTACTATTATCAGTCACCGACAAGGGCCTGGCTCTTAAATAGGATGATGATGATCTGTCGGTGCGTATTGAGCGCGCGACCCTTCCTTGCGTTTTGTCCGGTCCCCGGTATGAAAAAAGAATACAACTGTTGCCGAACAAAGCCGAGCAATAGGTATTTGAAAGGACTATCCACACACATCAGGGCCGTGTGAGGGGCGTGCTAGTTTGTATGAACTGCGGGCCCGTTTCGGCGCCGGCCCGGACACGGACATGTGTGAAGATCATGCAAAATAAACGCAACGATATTTTTTTGAGCTCCTGACGGAACACGGCCCGTCCACGTCCCGAGCACGGCCCGGATGTGTATACCACAACTTCCCACTCGTCAACCTTAATTAGTGAGGTTTAAACTTAATTCAACTTGTTGAGTTTATTTCTAATTATAGCTTAACGTATTTGTAATAGTAATAATAATTTAAGCGTAACAATAATATAATAAATACTGAGAATGAATAAATTTTATTACATGTGGGAATGGAAATATGACCTTTGCTCTCCCCTTTATAACTTTGATTTTTGTTGGGGATTTTGGGTAAGGTCAGGTGGGGTAAGAGGAACATATTTTATTTCGAGACAAATGTTATGAGCTCTAGGAGGAATAAATAATGTCTTATACGAACTTCGAAATGCTCTAATCTTGCCCTAGTTTATCAGTTTTCCATGTTTTAACAATAATTACGCTAAAATTAATACTTACGATGTATCTGACAAAAACGTTCAGGTTGTGCTAACGTTTCTCTTCCCCAAAAAACGGGGTAAGAGGAACTGTCATCATATTTCATATAAATGCAATGTATATTTAAATATATCCGTAGTTAATTCCTAAGTAATACTATTTGAATTGTATTTGATCTTAAAACCATTGAAATAACGCATACTTATCAAAAAAAAGGTGAAAAATTCATTTTGGGGCAACAGGAACATACAGGTTAAGGTCAGGGGTGACAAATTAAAAAAAAGTGAATCTGTTATAATTTTTTTAGTACCTATGTACAAAGCATAATAAAGGCACATTTTAAACCATTCGTTTACAAATCAACACATTAAGGGTCGTATTCCAGAACTCTACTCAATACTCAAGTCAGGACTTGAGTATTGCAGTGAGCACTGAAAATCATACTCAAGTCCTTGCCATTAGGGTCGTATTTCCAGTGCTTGAAACCATACTCAAGTCTGCTCAAATCCTGACTTGGGCATTGAGTACAGTTCTGGAATACGACCCTTAGAACTCTACTCAATGCTCAAGTCAGGATTGCACTGGAAACACAAGCACTGGAAATACGACCCTAATGGCAGGGACTTGAGTATGATTTCGAGTGCTTTAAACCATACTCAAATCCTGACTTGAGCATTGAGTAGAGTTCTAGAATACGACCCTAAGTAACTTAAGTACTTTTTAAACATTGTCGTGATAGAAAAACAAGACCTTCTTACCCCAACAATGTTTTTGGCGGCGGCTAGGATTTTGATTCCAATGGAACTCGTATATTTTGTTGTTTTTGGTCTGAAATAACTAACAAAAAGTAAAACTTACCGTTTTCTCTACGTGTTTTTCTGTAAAAATAATCTCCAGCACTTTTTTCACCAAAATCCAGCAAAGAAAAAATTACGCGCCCATCTCGTGTTTTCAGATTACACAGCTGCCATTTTTTTTTCTCTCTCTCTATCAAATTTGGAACATCGTACCGACATCTCTTTACAACCGTCAAAACTAATTTGTTTGTCTGTTTTATCGACTGAGAGACTATAGTGCTAAACGCTTTACTTTAGTCCCTCTTCCCCCGGTGTTCCTCTTACCCCACCTGACCTTAATGTGCATTGGCAACGCTGCAAATCGGAGGGAAGAATCGGACGTGTATTTCGTCTCCCGCAAAAGTATAGAGAGCGCGCCTTCAGACAATCGGATCGGTAATAAAATCGGACGCTATTTCCGACTCGGCCGCCACGTCACGTATTGAGTGTTCATACAATTATACGGTACGAACGCCTTCCGGTAGTCGGATCAGACTATCGGACGGTAAAAACGGATGTGTATTGTCGCACTCAGACTTACGTTAAACAACCAACTCTGTATTTCCCGTTTTCTTGTAAAATAACGTACTGCGTAACACACTTGACTTATTGTAATGGCTTCCCTTTAGTCGTTGCACGGCGATCAAGGATAAAAACAAACCACACAATTCAGTTTTGAGACGCTTTATTGTCATTCACGAGTGCATCGCTAACTCACTACTATCTACTGTTATGACAGATATACAGAGCAATCTACCTCACAGATAGAATCTAATCAGATATCATGTTACGGGAAACAATCTCGGATAATCTTTGTGATGCATTTCGATTATTTAGCTGCCATCATTTTGAAAAGGGAGAGTATGTAGCGCATTGTGCGCATTGCCGATTTAACTATTAAGTCATATTATTCATTTATTTCAGTATCGTATTTCTTACTAGTGTAGTTAGCGTTACCTAGCTATACGTAGATAACGATAGGTACGCGTGACATCGCTGTCTGGCATGTATCTTTACCAAAAAAATACATATCATCGGTTTACTGCTAAAACTCATTAATTACAAAAAATCACTAAATTAGGTCATTGAAGCCGTTGAATTTAGCGCGTTCGATTCTAGGATTTTGAGCAAAATTCGTAAGCAAAATTCACTACCTTCGTAGCTTTCTTATTTTCGACTTTAAAACTGTCAAATTAGGTACTTACAGTACTTTTGTAAAAGACATTATTCATGAATTGTGTTAGTTTAGGTTATTTATAACATAGTATTTTATAACATATTCAGAAAACTATCTTATTGGCGAAGGTAAATTTGGAATATCAACAAAATCGGCTAAATGATATTAGTGAATTTTGAAAATAATCAATTATGAGGGATTCAACTAATAAAATTAAATATTTACTAGGTTTCCAGCTTAACTATTTAAAGTAAGCCTGACTGTCCAATAGAGAAGGAAGCAAAGTCCTCAAGAAGTAAGTAAGCGAGATAAAGAAGGTAGTAGTGGTTTTGCCGAGCCATCGAATTTGATATGTTAATAATGATCCTGTTTAAAAGAA